AGAAAGTAGTCTTATACGAACGGTACATCCTACTTGCAGCAGAGAGTCAAGGTGTAGAAAAAACAGGCATACAATATGAATCACAGAAACACAAACACACACACACTAATTTCATGTATGTTTTTTGGCTTGAGTATCCCATTGATTCTCTGGGACATTTTCTGGAAACTATTTATATCTAAGCAGGTTTGGATGAGTTTTATTTTCTGTTTAAAGCACAGTAGCTGAAATGTTCTGTGATAAAAAGCCATGCTAAGATACAGATGCACTCTTTTATAACATTGTTAATATTTATAGAGCCAGTGTAAATACAATGGCTAGAAATTTGGACTATTAAGACTTGAGAGGCCTCAATCTCAAACCTCTATGAAGTTCTCTAGAATACCTTGGGACATCACTATCTCTCAACCTAAAATACCTCATATAGGGCCTTTGCAGAGTGCCAGAAATAGTGCAAATTGAGTCCACTTTAAGGGTTAGGGAATCATGGGAATTGCTTTTTTTCTGAGACATTGAGCCTTCTCTGTCAGAAAGCTCTGGTGCCACAATAAAATACAGTTCCCATGATTCCCTAACCCTAACCCTTAAAGTGGACTCAGTTTGCCCTATTTCTGGCAGTCTGCAAAGGCCCTATATAGTTGTTGTGGGTGTAAAATGGGAGTGGATGAGTTTACAGATTATATGGATATTTATCCAAAGGAAAGGATAAGAATATAATGAGTGCATTAATATACCTATTAGAGAAATATCTTCCTCCTGCACTTTCTTCATTTTGCATGCACCTTTGGATATTCACAATTGTTTCTTGTAGCTGAGTTCATAATAGATCAGAAAAGCCTGAGCAGTTCTACTGGTGCTGATAATATAGCTCAGTATTTAGGTGTATGCAAAATATAGAGCTCTGCTTCCAACATTACTCATTTAAAATTCTGTCATTTTACAATGCATCTAAAATAGGCTCATTCCCCACAAGGCTGACAACTACAGAATATATAAGATATTATCTTTTATTAGATCAGCTAACGAAAGATATGCTGAATTTTGACTTATCCTGAATTCTTCATCAGGCAAAGAGAATGTTAACAGCAGGGGTAGGCAACCTTTTTGAGCCGGGGGCCGGGTTACTGTCCCTCAAACAATTGGGGGCCCGAAGCACCAAATATATATATATATATTTAAAAAATTAAAAATTAAAAAAATATGCATGTACACTCAGTCCCATAAAAGCCATGGCAAAACCCCTGTCAAGATTTTGCCA